GTCCTCCTCTTGGCCGCGCCCCTGAACTCTGTCAACTCTGTTGCTGGTGACAGACAGAGAGAGATAGAGAGAGAGAGAGAAGGAAGGAAAGAGAGCAGGGAGAGCAGGGCGAGCGCGCGCGCGCGCGCGCTCGTGTGCTATGGACGGCGCGCTCGAATACGCTCCAGAAAGGCGCGCTCAGGCTCAGGGCGCGCTCTGCAGAGAGAAAGACAAAGAAAGAGAAACTTAAAGAGAGAGAGAGAGAGAGAGAGCGAGAGAAGGAAAGAGAACAGGGCGAGCGGCACGCGCGCTCGTGTGCTATGGACGGCGAGCTCGCGCTCCAGAAAGGCGCGCTCAGGGCGCGCTCTGCAGAGAGGAAGACAGAGAAGAGAAACTTAAAGAGAGAGAGAGAGAGACAGAGAGAGAGGGAGAGAGAGAGCGAGAGAAGGAAAGAGAACAGGGCGAGCGGCGCGCGCTCTCGTGTGCTATGGGCGGCGCGCTCGTGCTCCAGAAAGGCGCGCTCAGGGCGCGCTCTGCAGAGAGGAAGACAGAGAAAGAGAAACTTAAAGAGAGAGAGAGAGAGAGAGAGAAGAGAAGGAAAGAGAGCAGGGCGAGCGCGCGCGCGCTCGTGTGCTATGGACGTCGCGCTCGCGCGCGCTCTGAAATACGCTCCGGAAAGGCGCGCTCAGGGCGTGCTCTGCAAAGAGAAAGACAGAGAAAGAGAAACTTAAAGAAAGTCAAAAGGGTGATGGATGCCATGTCTAAATGGGATCACCTGGAGCCTTCCAGTCACCAAGTTGCTGCTCCCAAGCGTTCATTTTCCCAAGCTTCTTTGCCTGTGGCAGCGGCTGCTCAGTCTGCCAGCAGCAGCAAAGCTGAAGCTAGCAGCAGTAGCAAAGTGAATCCCTATGAGCTTTATGGAGTGAGCCCACCTTCCAAAAGGAGAGCCATGAAATCCCAATGTGTTTGCAGTGGATTATTCTTCTCAGGAGGGGAATGCCTCTCCTGTTGCAGACATGGAAGTAGCTCCTGAACACGAGAATGGAGACACTGCTGCTGTGCTTTTGCAATTCTTCGACCAGGAGAAGGGTGTCATGAAGAGGCAGCTAGCCAATGGTGAGACATTGGAAGCCCAATGTGTTTGTGGGGACAAAGGCTTTTTGCTGTACCAATTTGGCAATGAGGAGCAGTGTGAGTCAGATACTCCCAACCTGGCATTGCACATTGTTTCCAAACCGATGAAAAGGCCAGCCTCTGCAGCTTTGAAGAAGCCTGCAGCATCCTTGGCCCTGGAGGAGCCTGAGGCAGTTGCAGAACCTGCAGCCTCTGTGTCAAATGAGGTGCACCTGTATCTTGATAGTCAAAAGCTGCAGTGATGCTTATCAAAATGCAGAATGTCTGTTTGCAATGAAAAGTCTTTGGCAGCTACCAAAATCTTTGGCAGAGAATGCACTAATGAAGAAACCAAGAAAAGCTGTTGGAAATGATATTTGAAATGCATTGTTTCCAAAAGGAATGTAGTGCACAATTCTCAAACCTTGTGTTGTTCACCTAAAATCTTACCAAAATAGTTCATGGCCATAAACATGTATATATTTAATTTCATTTAACTTTATTTAACTTGGAAAATGAAAGCATTTCCAATTAAATGGTGAAAACCAGCCCAAGTTAAATTAACTTCATTTAACTTGGCCATTTAGTTGCAAATGAGTTCATTTCCCAAGTTAAATTAACTTCATTTAACTTACCATAAGTTAAATTAACTTCATTTAACTTACCAAAATGAAAGCGTTTCCAATTAAATGTATAAGTTAAATAAGTTAAATGGACCAAGCTAAATGAAATTAAATGAAGTTAAATGGTTGGTCTTATATCGGTTTGTGGCCTCTTTAAACCATGGATTGTGTCAGACCT